AGGCCGATCCCGAGGTTATATCTCTCGACATTTGTCAGTACAATAGAGTCGGCTTAAGTGTTTTGTGATCACTTCGTATCCTGGTGAGGAGAAGGATAATCAGCAGAAGGAGATTCTAGAAAATCATCAGACACCAATCAACCACTGCATATGCCAACTATCAAGGTTCAGCTTGTGATTATTCCACCGGGTAACCGGACCACTGTAGTAGCCTAAGCCGCTTTAGATAAACCTGGCGATCCCTGGCGTTATTCATCACTATCATCAGGAAGGGCCATTGGCAATAATAAGAATAATAATTAATTGAAGTACTATTATCATTTTTAAAACAAAAATTGAGAATTAAAATGATAATCCTATTACTACTGCACAATCATCTAGGTATCTTCTTGATCATTCTGGGTTTGATGGAATAAATACAAACAGATTCCCATGGCTTCCTTTTCCTTACCTTCTCTGTTCTTTACTCATTTTAATTCCAGCAATTTTACCGAGCACCCAGGATCCTGATTCCCTGGTGAATTTGGTATGTTTCTGACGTAACATATCCCAGCTCACTGCTTTCCCTCAATCATCATCATCATCATCATCATCATCATCAACATCCATCAGAGCATCCTATCTACAGGTCTCTTCATTGTTTTTCTTCTGGTTCTATTGTTGTTATTGTCAGCTGATGCTGCATTTCTCTCTCCCTTTTGATCTGTCCGGATGGCATCCTCCTCCGTCATCTCTTTCCTTTTAGCCTCTATCTAACCACCTAGCGATCTCTGTCGCTTGAGGACTCATTCATTGACTATTCATCTCTTATCGCATCTAGGCCTCATTCCATTTCTCGGTCTCATCGATCAATAGCTCTACTGTTCGTCATCAGCTTAGTCAGACCAGCCGAGTTGAACTCTCGCATCATCTCCGGTTCCTCCACTATAGAAGGAAAAAGACCCGCTTCGCCACCCTTCCCGTCTCATTTTCCCAGTTCCCAAAAGAGAACTCCTAAAAGTTCCTCTATCGGCCAGACGGTGACGGAAACGGCTGTTCTCTGCCCCCACCACCACCAAGCAATAATCTTTAGGTGGGACCCGTTTGTCGCCCTGCAAATCTGGTCAGTGGGCAGTCGATCATTGGCAGATTCTATCTCTTGCGCCATATTTCGGTCTATCTCTGTGTCATTATTTTCCCCCCTCTATATTTTTCTTATCTCCCTTCTTTGGAATACCGTTGTCTTTTAGCTGCGAGTATTTCCTTCTACGCTGCATATCGCGCCCTAGCGATTTTACTACATTTCCGTCCGATCTTCTAGCAGCTGCATATTCGCAGCCGTTGGTAGCATCGTTATGGCTCTCAGCTTCTTCAGTGGAGGAGGTAGCGCGAGTCACGCAAAATACTTTGATATCCGGTAAGTCGTCGCAGGTCGCATGCCTCATGAGCACAGTTGAGCTAACTTTTTGCCATAGTCTGGATGAAGATTATATTTTATTTAGAGGAGGAGAGCAAGAGGCAGCCAGTGCGCAATTGAGTGGAAAGCTGCTCCTCTGCTTGTCGGAGCCGCTGTCCGCCAAGCACGTCAGGCTTAACCTCACTGGTATCTCTCGAGTATGGTAAGTCGCCAGTTCCTGTATTACTCTTACTTCATGCGACAAACAAACGGCTAACGAATGTGCTTTGCAGTTGGCACCTCCCATCGAGCTCGGCCAGCGGTGGCAGGAAATCATGGAGGGAAAAGGTGTTTTATGAAAAGTCCTGGACATTCAGAGACGCGGGCAAAGGCAAGACTGAGATTCTCGCTGCGGGCAACTATGAGTTTCCATTCCATGTGATACTCGAAGGCTCCATGCCAGAGAGTGTCGAGGGTCTCAGCGATACCTACGTGACCTACAGATTCAAGGCGGAAATCGGACGCAAGTACGCCAAGGATATTGTTGTCAGGAAACCACTGCGTATCATTCGTACGCTGGACTCCAGTGCTCTTGAACTTTCTCATGCTATGGTAGGCGGGCCGTGGTTTTGAACTCCCGACTACAACTGCTAATATTTGTGCAGTCCGTGGAGAACATTTGGCCAAACAAAATCGAGTATTCGATCAGCACTCCAACCAAAGCCGTTATTTTCGGGACCAGCATACGGGTGGACTTCAAACTGATTCCCCTCCTCAAAGGTCTCAAGATCGGACAGATTGTCTCCCAGCTAATCGAAAGTCATGACCTTACACTCAATCCCGAAGACCCCGACTCTGTCCGCAACACATACAAAAACACAAGGACGATCGTCAACGACGAACATGAGTTGGATGAGGAAAACGGTCTCGAGATCATTGACGAGGCAGCCGAGGGATACCAATTTTCTCGCTTCCTTGACCTACCGAAGACGTTGACCCGCTGTCTGCAAGATACCGACACACGAGGTATCAAAATCAGACACAAATTGAAGTTCCGTGTCCAATTACTGAATCCAGATGGTCACATTAGCGAGGTATTTACCCCGGTTCCCCGAAATTTGTATCCAGGAATGCTAACGTTCCCAGCTACGGGCTACCCTCCCTGTCTCCATTTACATCTCGCCTAACCTCGCAATCGACGACAACAACAACCTCGTCGACCAAACACCACAATCCGCTCAACGGGCAGTAAACGACCTCGCACAACAAGCACCTCCCTTGTACGGCGAGCATCAGTTCGATCAATTATATAGCGAGGTCGACCCAAGCGGCTACCGAACCCCGGGACCGGGCAGCGGACCGGGAACTCCATTTGGTACTCTTAGCCGGAATTTGTCTGCCGAGAATCTTGCATCGATGAATGCCTTGACCACCACCGATATCTCTGCTTCTGCCTTACATACCCGACTGTCCAACCTGCATGCCAGCAGGTTCAGCAACCCATCGCCGACCGATACTGACAGCCATACCGACTCCGAACAGCGTCGTCTGGGAGTCTCGGCCGACTACTTCGGTCCCTCTTCCGGTTCCAATTCGCACAGCCCCGCGAGTCCCGAACTTTCCCGCAGACCTTCCGACGAGGTCTATCACGACCACGACCACATTCCCTCTGGAATGGCCACACCGTTTCACCCACAGTTCGCTGAAGTCGAGACCCTCAGCCGCGTCCCAAGCTATTCGACGGCGGTCAGGTCTACTGTGGGTCCATGCGACAGTGAGCTGCCAGACTACCAGGCTGTTGTTGCCGAGGATACCGCCATGCCTACCCTCCAGTCCCCTCAACAAGCCCATATCCGGAGCGCCGGTCGTGGAGCCTCGACGCTGAACACCGGCATCGATGTACATCACTTCCGTTCCGGCCTCTTCAACTCTCGGACGTCAACTCACCACGACGATGACGATCGCAGACTGCGCCTTGTTCAAGCTCACGCGCGGGTTTGAACCAATAACGACAGCTCAATTTCTCCGTCTATCCACGACGATAATCTCCCATCACGACACATTAATAAATAAAGGCCAAAAAAAGAAAACACCTCACTCTAGGTGACTCATCATCTCTATCAGTCATGAGCATAATGTTGGCGCTGGACGTCGAAAAGCATGGCCTATCACATATTTTGATTCTACTTTATCGGAGGACAGGCGCCTTCATGAGTTCCCGTACATTTCGCATCATGTCACTTTTCTTTCTCATCATATATTTTAGATCCGGGCGGAGTTTTGTTTTTCGATTCCCGAGGCGTTGTTCGGTCAAAGGCATCATAGAAGGATTCGGGAGGACTGGAACTGGGGTTTTATTTCAGGAATGAAAATATCATGAAGGAGCTGATTGCACATAGTCAGCATGAATTATGCACAGCATTTATACTTGTGTACCTTATTATACCAGTTGAGCATTTGCAAATGCAAAAGGAGATTGACATAACACCATTTGACCAAGATTCTGATAAGAATTAGAAGCACTAGAAGGTCTCAAGCCACAGGCACTCTCCCAACTGCGCAACGAACATAGGGGCCGTACCTTGACCCAGACTCAAGCTCAAGCGTCCATGGCTGATTGATGACTGAGATCGACTGGAGAAACACAGCTGATTGGGTCAATGACTTAAGTGGCTCAAGTTCTTTTCCAGATCGGGTAGTCGTTGTGGCTGTGCCGATAAAGAATGCCTGAGCTTTACCGCTTTCAGGTTGTACCCCTAACATTGATGGAACAACCTGAACAGGGGATTGCTGTGCCACATGCGATGTGAGTGTTGGTATTACTTTTTCTGTCTACGGGAATGTCGAGGATCTCTCATTGCGGCTTGGGATGAAGTTGTGTGCGGATATGTGCGGATATGGGTGTTCTACTGTGTAAGTCGAGTATAACTGCGTTGTCTAGTAATAAGTAGGTAAGAAAAACAATTCAGATCAGGCGAATGGCACGGTTCCCAGATAGAAAAGCTTATCGACCCCATGTGGACGATTACTGCAGAAAGAAGTAAGACAGACTAAAACAAGGGTTTTGTCCGAGATCTCAAGTGTTCCCATGAATTGAGGTCGGCGAATCGCCAACTGAGGGGTTGCAAAACGCAAATCAAGCAGTGACCTCATCGCTCCCAATCCGACCATGTGAGCAAGGTCCCTTTTAAATGCTCGCTGTCCCATCTGCACTTCTTCCTTTCTACCAAGCAAACCCAGTACGTATCGCCTCTTTTACTTATACCCTCTGAGTGAGACTTCGATCTGCCTCCCTTCTGTACTCAGTAAGTGTTCATCTAGCCATCTGCTATTGACCGCTCCGACCCACCTCCTCCGCTTTTAATCATTGACCCCTCCAACTAACTATCTATAGTTATTCGCAGTAGACTACGGGGCAGTAGCACGTACGTACTACGGCGATAGCTTTGTCTAGTCCAAGCCAGCACTTCCGGCCCCTCCACAATCTCCCGCAATTGCCTGACTGACGATCGCCGCAATCTTTTTTTTTTCCTTCTTTCCTTTTTCCCTTGTATTGCGGGATCAGGTCAATCGGCTTCTGTTTGTTGCTTTCTACTTCAAATTTAGCGCTTTTTGTTCAGTCAGAATGTCGGCTACAAGCAGTCCCGTGGAGCAGAGACTCCCTCACCGTTCGTCGACGATGAGGAGCTCCATCGGTCCGGACCGTCGGGCGTCAGTGAGCGATGACGAGGCTGTCCCGGGTTCGGATAGCAATGAGGTGTGTTCATTGTCTGCTATATGCCGTGAGGACTATTGACGGGTAGTACTGACTACGGCGTGCTGGGTAGACTACGAACCTTCTCCTTGAGCGTCTCCGTGCTTGGAAACATATGTGTGGTTATTTGGAGGATTATGTGGAAGTCACAGCCAAAGTGCAGAAGTCGCAAGCGAAGGATTATGAGAAAGTTCTGAAGGTGTGGTCTTTCATTCATATGGTATCGAAAGGGTGCTGATACTGCCTGGATAGACTGTCAGCGATCCGCTTCGGGAGGGGCACCATTTCTCTCAGAGTGCGGGCGGAGTTTCGGGATGGTTTGAGAATATTCGGACCAATACTCAGGTATTGTTCTCTAACATTTGTCCCTGGCGTTCGCAACTACTGACGGATTGCATAGGGGATTGTGAATGGGTACCTTGACACGGAAAAGAACTTGAAAGGATCCGTGCTGCCGACCCTTGAGCGTCTCCACAAAGAGATCAAGAACAAGTCCAAGGAGCTGCAGAGCGGCGCGTCCAAGAGCGCCAAGGCCGTTGAAAAGGCGCGAGGCGTGACGCAGAAACATATCGAGCTCCTCGGTCAGCAGGTCGCATCGTTTGATTCGACTGCGGGGAACAAATTCGACCATGCCCACGACCCATACATCTTGCGCCGCGGGGTCAATCACCGCTTGAACAAGCAGGTCATCGAGGAGAACAACAACCGCCAGGACATCATCGCCGTGCAGAACAACTTTCAGCAGTTCGAGGCGCACGTTCTGCAAACCGTCCAGGCCGCCATCGAGCAGTTCAACGTGTTTGTGGGCGGCCAACTCGACCGGCAACGGAGCATGTACAGCGACATGCTGGGCGCTGCCCAGCGCATTCCTCCGGACTTTGAATGGGTTAATTTCATCACGCGCAACGCCAACGTGCTGGTGGACCCCGACTCACCGCCGAGATCGCTGTCCAACATCTCCTTCCCCAACCAGGATCACCGCGCCACCGTCCCACTCATCGAGGGCAGTCTGGAGCGCAAGTCGCGGGCCATGCTGAAAGGCTACAGTACGGGCTACTATGTTGTCACACCTGCTCGGTACCTGCATGAGTTCAAGGACAACGATGACTTCCGCCACGATCCTTCTCCCGAGCTGTCTCTGTACCTGCCCGACTGCGTGATTGGAGGCGTCGACGGTAACAAGTTCACTATCAAAGGCAAGGATGTTTCCGGCGGCAAGGTCGGCAACGCCTTCCACACCACCAGCGAGTTGAACTTCAAAGCACATACTCCGAGCGACGCGGAGAAATGGTGGAGCGTCATCCGGGACTCAGCCAAGGCTGCCCCGGCACACTCGCCCGTGTCGCAGCCCACTAGCCCTGTGGTAGCCGGGGGGGCTGCCGCTGCTGCCACCGAGAGTGGAGCTGCTGCTACAGGTGCTGCCGCAGGCGAGGCACAACAGCATCCTCCAGCCTACGCCGAAAAGGAAAGCTTTGCGCCAGCCGCTGCCGTCGAGGCGCCGACTCCTACCACCCCGGCCGCTGAGACTGGGCTCAACCGCTCAACAAGCTCCGGCACCGGCCACTACCACATGGGACCGGGTGGAACATCTGTTGCGCCTGATGCATCTGCTCCAAGTGCTGAGAAGTCATGAATCACGTCCGGCACTACCGAGCGTTCTGATCTATTTCGTATGTTCTGTTCCTCTTTTCGTATGCCGTATATCGGATAGTGTAATATCGATCATGTCTATAGGATGACCATGTACTTAATCAGTATACCTCGAAGAATGCCATACCAGGGCATCCAATGCGTTCACACATTCAAAATATCCACCACAGTAACCGGTGTATTTCGATCCGGTCATGCCCTCTCCCCATGACTTCCACCCTCTGCATCCTCCTCTCTCGGCGCGCCCGCCTCCCAAGCCAACACAACAATCGACCGCACCCCGCCCCCCCTGTCCTGCGGCACAACCGCCCAATCCCCCAACTCC